TATACACATATTTTCCCCTTCCTTCTTTCTTTTCCCTCATCCTAGTTCCATATCAATTTTAAAATCAGCTTGTCAATTTCCAGAGTTTGCTAAGATTTTGGTAGAGATATTGTTGAATCTGAATTAATTTGGGGAATATTGCCATTTTAGCAACATTAAGTCTTCTAATCAATGAACACAAGTGGTCTTTTCATTTAGTTAGATCCTCTGTACTTTCAGTATTATTTTAGTTTACAATGTACAGGTCTTGCACTACTTTTATTAAATTTGTTCCTAAGTATCTTGTTTTTTCTAATACTATTTTAAAGAAATTCTTTTCTTAGTTTCACTCTCAGATTGTTCATTGAGAGTGTATGGAAATACAACTGGCATTTTTAAACTGATGGATCTGTACCATTGTTGAACTTCTTTAATATTTATAATAGCTTTTCGCCAGTGGATTCCTTAGAATTGTCTATAACACCGTAAGTTCTGTAACTAAACGTAGTGTTATTTCTTTCTAATTTAAATGATTTTACTTCTTTTTCCTGTCCAGTTGCTGTGAGTAAAATCCCCAGTACAATTTGGAATAGGAGTGATGAGGTCAAATATCCTTTTTTGTTCTTGATTGTACAATGAAACCGTTCATTCACTATTAATTTGTAATATTTTTTATGATTTTTCATAAGTGTCTGCTATTATTTTTTAGGAAGTCCCCTTGTATGTCTAGCTTCTTTGGTGTTTGTTTTGTCGTAGAGTGTTGAGTTTCTTCAAATGCTTTTCCTGTGTCTGTTGAGGTGCACATCTGAGGTTTTGTAACTTTTATTTCATTATTAGGATATATTACATTGATTTTTATAATTAAATCAACCTTGCACTTCTGCGATCAATCCCTTCTGGTAAGGGGGATAATTTTTATATGTTGCTAGGGTGAGTTACTAGCATTTTGAATGAGGAGTTCTGCATTGCTGTTTTCTTTGGGAAGGTTGTGAATAGTTAATTCTTCCTTAAATGTTTGTTAAGTTCACTAGTGAGGCCATCTGACCCTACTTTTTTTTCAGTTTGTGTAGGAAGTTTCTGATTACTCATTTAAAATCTTGATTTGCTGTTGCCCTGCTTATTAGATTTTCTGTTTCTTCAGGAATCGGTTTCTGTAGTTTGTGTCTTTTAAGAATTTGTCCATTTTCATCATTTTCTCTTAATTTCTTAACATACAATTGTTCTTAGTATTCCTTTTAACCCTTATTTCTGTAATATTGGTAGTGATAATTCCTTTCTCATCTTTGATTTTAATAATTTGAGTCTTTTTTCTATTTTAACTTTCTACAAGGCATATGTGTCTTTGAACAACTGTATAATTTTAAAGACAGTAAAGATAGATAACACAAATAGACACATCAAAGATATGGGCATATTTCTCATTCCTTGCAGTCTGTGTGGGCATCAACTTCTTAATCAGAAAGAGGAGAAATTGGTTCATTTTTGCTGAAGTAGTTGAAGACTCTGGACTGTAGAATTCCTATGTCCCAGCATAAGATTAAATTATAGAAATGGGGATATTTTGGACAGAAAGACTAATCTGAGGAGCCCAGTGTTCCTGAAGGGAGCACTAGGAAGTAAAAGTGGATACTTGCACTTGCTTAATAGTCAATGGGAGGTTATTGAGGATTCTGGGGTATGACAGTAGCCAGTCAAAGTGACAGTCAAGGAAATTAGCTTGTTGGTGGCATGGGGGAGAGATTGAAACTGGGAGGTTACCTAGGGACTTGCCTGGATATAAGGAGATGAGGGAAGTGACTGAGGAATGTAAAAGGGAGAGAGAAGAATCAGGGATTATCTCTCATTTAGAAAGCATTCCTTGGTTTTGAAGGAAGGGGAAGGAATGAATTGTCTTACTTACCCATGTCTCTGTCACAGTAAGTAGTTAGCAGTTAGTCCCAGAATAGGTCCAATGTAGATATCTGTTAAATTGATCCCATTAATGCACCTTCCATTAGAGGTCAATGAAGCTGGTTAAGTCAGCATTTAACTACCATGAGAAGGCTTCTAGGAAGCTTTGCAATCTGGCAGGTTTGGGGCATTGTTTATCTTACTTGGCATCAGGAAACTATGTGCTAATTGCAGTATCAGTCAACAACACTGGTGAAAAGGTACACCTTAACCTGCAGCAGGTTGTGGGGCAGAGCTAACATGCCACTATAGGATGCCACTGAGTGAGCATAAGCTCCTAGGCTGACCTGTGTCATTGTACTCTGACATGCAAACAGACTAGGTTCTTCATCTGCACAGAACAGGAAACTTTAAGAGAAGGGAGTTTAGAGATTGGATGAGAAGGTTGCATCATCAGGCCCAGGGTATCTTTTCTATAACCCTGAGATCAAGAGCACAATCATTTGGGCCTTTCATGGCACCTTTTCCTAGGCTATGAAACATTGTCTCTGCGATGTCAGAACCATGAAGATCAATGCTTTCTATTTTCTTTGCTGTTGTATCCCCAGTATCTGACAAATGGTAGGCACTTGATGTAGATTTAATGAATGAGTGATCTTGACCGCAATTCTTTTCTATGAAAGTGGCATCTTAGCCTAAGGAATGGGCATCTGGAGTTGTTGCAATGTAGTAAAGATGTCTTTTCAGAAGCTGCTGATAGAGAGCCTACACCTAGACCTTTAGTTCTAGCTAGAAGGGATTTCTCCTACCAAATTTAGTGTAAGGGAGCTACTTCTTCTTGGGCTGCAATTGGCTTTCTCTGCTCTTACTTTTATTTGTAACTATAATCCCATGGAGTGTGGTGTGAATCTAAATCTCATTCTGTTCCTGCCCTCATATCCTGTACTCCTTCCTACTAGAAGTGTTCCAAATACTTATCTTATTCTAACCACCCACAGACCATTTTGACTTGACTTGTCCTGAGAATTAAAGAAATGGTTGTTATCTCTTCAAAGCCTGCTTATGTTACCCTTTCCCCATCAGAGCTTAGCTTGTTTTGTGAGAAGCAGGAAAAAGTTAATAGATTAGTAGAGGGTGAAATTTCCATTATTAAAAATAGCAGCATCATGTATATGAGATATTTGCTTCAATGCCTTAGAATCACTTTTTAAACAGGTCCATTCCTTTGAATAATCATCCCTTACACTGGCTTTCAGTTGTATTAAAGGGCAGCTATTAGCATACTGAAGACACAAAGCTGACCTTTTGGAAGAGATTGCAATAGAGAATTTGCAAAAGATGATAGGTTATGGGTAGAGATAAATTTTGCACATTGAGTGTGTATACAAAATGTGTTAAAACAGAGTGATCTTTTTTTGCTGTGACCTGTAGCAAAAAAATATGTAGGTAAATTTCTAGGCATACTGGGTGCTAACCACACTTCCCATTCCTTAGGAAGGAATGTGAAAAGAAGAATATACAGAGTTGGGAAGTAACAACTGTTCTTTTTTTTTCTTTACCATTTTACCTATTTTTTGTAACTTCTTTTACCTTCATCTTAAAGCTTCTGAAATCATCTACCCATAGGTTTTTCTGTTGACAGAAATGCAGAAGCATCTCAGTTGCTTGATCTCAGCTTCTTAAGTCAGGATGTAGAAAAAAAAGGAGAAAGTGAGGAGAGGAAATATAGAGTTGATTAAATCTGTTGAGACAACTGGCAAGTACTTGGCAAATTGCCTCCTACATTGCACATTATTATCTTCAGTGTAGCTGCTCATAATATAAGATGTAGGCGCGAAAAACCAATCAATATACTTTTTTCCTTAAAATAAAATTAGTTGGGCCAGGGATATAGCTCAGTGGCATAAGCGCCTGCCTGGCAAGAGCAAGGTCCTGAGTTCGATTCCCAGTACCAAAAAAAAAAATAGTTAAAGAGTAAGAATTAAGAAAATTTTAAAAGATTTCCTCCTACAGATTTTGTTAGTCTGGTGAGGCACCCTTTTTCTTCCTGTGCTCATGTTTTCCTCTTCCAGGACTGGGGCTAAATGGGCTGTGTTACAAGCTAAGTCATCCAAGATCCAAAGACATTTCACGCAAAGGAGGGTTTTTTTTTGTTGTTTTTTGGCTTCCTTTCAATTTCATGATTTGGAATGGAGAGTCTCAGCCTTTACCAACTGTATCCATTGTTTTATGATTCTAATAATTGTCAGCCCATTGGGCCCAAAGCTTTTCCTTTTCTCTCCTTGCCGCCCTTAGAGCCAGAGGCACATATATGATAGCATAGGGTTTGTAGCATTAAGACTGTGTGGCTCCTGTTCCAAGCCTCTCTGCTTCCTGACTGTGTGACTTGGGATATATTTCTTAACTTCTTTTAGCCCTAGTTTCCTCTTCTGTGAAATGGTGTTAACAGTGGCACTTATCTAGCAGAACTGAAAAGAAGCTTCTTGAAAGCTCTTAGCACAATGGCTAGTGTATAGTAAATGCTTAATCAATAGCAAATGTTATTATGTGGCGAGGAAATATTCTGATATCCTCATCCAAACTTTGAGGAAGTAGAGATATTTGTATGTCCAAGGAATTTTCCAGTCAAATTTTGATTATTATTTATATATCCTATGATGAAAATCAGTACTAAAAGCCTTTCTTTTGAGACACCCATTTTGGCATTCAACTTTGGTATTCAAATTGTAGGTACTTCAATGCCGTGTTTTGCCAATAGTGTAGCTGTCATACTTAGATATTTAGTTTAAGTTTTTCTTTTCTTGATCCAGCTGTGCTTCCTAGATATGCTTCACTATGAACATGTTTTGCTTGCACTTTACTCTCTTTGGAGACATTCTTACCCAAGAAGCCTCTCAGAAATGAATTAGTTATACCTCACATCTTCCATTTCACAGATAGGTCGCCAGGGACCTAGAGAGGATTAGACCCATGCTTAGGGCCAGCACGCCACAATGGAGCAAGGTCTGGCATTCTTTTTGCAAGGGCTCTTTGGGTACCCAAGTGTTTTAATTTACTATTTTATTATTTGACTCTGAAATCCTGAAGAAGGCAGTTAACCCGTTATTCTTTTTTTCTGCCTATTTCCACAGCTCTGGGTGAACCAGGAGGATGGAGTGGAGGAAGGGCCCAGTGATGTGCAGAATGGGCATCTGGACCCCAACTCAGACTGCCTCTGCCTGGGCCGACCACTCCAGAACCGAGACCAAATGCGGGCCAATGTCATCAATGAAATCATGAGCACTGAGCGTCACTACATCAAGCACCTCAAGGACATTTGTGAGGTAGATATCATGGTGCATGTGGGGGCATACAGGGTAGGATAGAGGGCACCTCCATGAACAACCAATAGCTATGGTGGGCCTGCCTTTGACAGTGTCAAAATGTGGACAAGGGCAGCTGGACTACCTCCTAGATTCTATCAGTAGAGTGAAACCGTTCCCTTGGGGCTCTCAATTTCTCTTTTTCTCTCCTTTTCTGTAACTTTCTTATTCATTAATGTTCACTTACTATCTTTCTCTTTCTCTCCTTCCCCCTCCTTCCCTCTCTGTATTCTTCTTCTCCCTTTTCTTGTCTCCATTCTGTCTCCCTGAGTCTTTCTCCTTTCTCGCCCCTCAATCTCTACCCTTTTTGTTTTAGTCAAGAAGCCTCTCAGAAATGAATTAGTCACAACTCACATCTTCCATTTCACAAACAGGTCACCAGAGACCTAGGGAAAATTAGACCCATGCTCAAGGCCAGCAAGCGACATTAGAACAAGGTCTGGCATTCTGTATGCAAGGGTTTTTGATTGAAGCTTTCTCGTTTCTGATCTAGTTGCTCATGTTGGGGTCTAATTTCATTCATTAAAGAAAAACACAGATTCCTCCAAGCCAATAACTGACAGACTTGAATGTGTACCAGAGAAATCCCAGAACCTCATTATTGCCACACAAATTGTAAATTATCAGGTTTGGGGTAAGGTGTAAGCATCTATGAATTTAAAGAACATCCTTGGTGATATTGATGCTTCTGGTCCTTTTCCCTCACTTGGAAAAAACACTTGCCAGTTTGAGCAAAGAAATTTTTAGGAAATGGGATCTATAGATTAAGGGTAAATGAACAAGCCTCAGCTCTTTTAATATATCACTTTGCTCCCCAGGAACTGTTTCTCTACGTTTCCTAACCCCATCTAGAAAAGAGGAGAACCTTTTACCTCACATTCTTTTGAGCATAGTGAACTTAAATTAGCATTTTTAAAGGGATTTTACTAAACAGAGGAAAACAATGGAAAATTGAGTAAAAGATTAGACATAGACAGACACAAATACATCCAACACAATGATAGCCTTCCACTCCACCCACAGAAATCTCTTCTTTGAGTCTTTTCATCTTCTTCCTTTCAGAGAATATGTTCTGTCATAGTTTCTGTCTCCCAGCCTGGGGCCCACTTTGTTGTCAGCAGTAAGGTCTACCATGTTTCAAAGTTCTTACTTCTCTAGAGCAGTGCTGCTCATTAGAACTTTAGGCAGTGATGAAAGTGCTCTGTTTCCCCCTCTCTCTTAAGTCAGATCATTTTATTACTTTGTGAAAAATCTTCCAATGGCTCACCATTTCTCCTACAAATAAAAACTAAAATTCTCATTACTTACAAAGTGCTGTATAGTGAACCCCTTCTTACCTCTTCAACTTAATCTGCTGTTTTTTTTGCCCATACCCACTGGCTCAATATACCAGCCTCTTTGATCTTCCTTCAACACGCCTGACATACTTACCCTTATGATCTTTTGCAACAACTTTTTCTCTGCCTAGAGCACTCCTCATATCTACATAGCTCCTTTGCTCACATCCTTCAAGTTTGTTACACAAATATTACCTGCTCCTTGAGACTTTTTTAACCATTCTATTTCAGAGTGTAATCTTGCATTGCCTCTCCCCCTTTCTTCCTTTACATTTAAGGTAGTATAATTATTGCCCATTGCACTTATGACTATCTGACATATTATACGTATGTATTTTGTCAGTTGTCTATCTCCCCTACTAAAGTATAAACTATGAGGGGCAGGAGTTTTCATCTTGTGATTTACTGATGTATCACTCTTAGCACAGTACCTGACACATAGTAGATGATCAGTAAGTACTGCTTAAAATCAGCAAAAGTATAATTGCTGACATGTGTGTACCACTTTGACTGACAAAGTATATTCACATTATATGCCACTTGCTCTTCAAAGAGGGGAACAATTGTCATTGTTATTTCTATTTTCTAGGAAGTAAAATTATTTCCTACAGTTCCCAGACACTAGCCCAGTGGGAGTCCTTTAGTCCTCTTAGAAGAATCACCTGTACCCAACACCCAAACCTCTTAATTTCTTCCTACAGGGACATCATAATGGAAATATCCATCTTTCCAGAAGGAGTAGAGATATGACCTATGTCATAGTCACTTTCCTTGTCTCTGAAACATAATACTGGACAGCCACAAGTTGAAGGAAGAAAGGTATATTTTGGTTCACAGTTTAGGGAGGTTTCAGTCCATAGTCAGGTGATTTTCTAAGAAATGACAGCATGGCTGAGGAACATAACAGAAGAATAACTGCTCAAGTTATGTCCTTTAGAAAGCAAAGAGTCAAGGGAAGAGCTGGGAAGGGAAATATAACCTTCTGGATCATGCCTATGGTAGCCCGCCTCTTCCAACCAGGCCCCATCTTTAACAGCAATTCAAGTGTAAAGCCCCTGTAAGCCAATCATCTTCCAATGGTCCTGCCTATTGTCAGATAAGGCTTTATGGGGATATCTAGATATAAATCATGAAATTCTGCTCCTGGCCTCCAAAACACTCATGTGCATGTCCTTATGCAAAGTGCATTTAGTCTATCTTTAAGAGTTGCCATATTCTCAACAGTTCCAGCATTGCTGAAGAGTTCAAGCCTAAAGTCTCCTCTGAGACTAAAGAAAACACTTAGTTGTGAGCCTCTGTAAAAATGAAACAGAAAGTTAAACATTGCCAACCTACAATGGCAGAAAGTAAACATTCCTATTTCAGAAGGGAAACATAAGATAGAAAGAAATCAGACCAAAGAACAAGAACTAGCAAGTCAAACATTAAATTCCAGAGTTTCATATATAGCACCCAGGTCAAGCTGTAATGAGATATGAACTCCAAAGGGCTTGGGCAGCCCCACCCAGAAGGTATTCCCAGTGGTTTTAACCTTCATGGCTTCTTTCTTGGGCTATATTTACTTACTCTTGTGGCTTTCCACAGACTTTCCACATTTCTGGTTTCTCCAACTTCTTGGGGTCTCCACTGCAATTTCTTCTTCACTTTAACAGCTTCATCCAGTATCTCAGTATCCACCCAGTAGGGGCACATTGCCTGATCTCTTGGGCCTTCTTCTGAAATCTGGGTGGAAGCCTCCATGACCCCATAACTTTTGCATTCTGCATATGTGTAAAACCAGTACTACCTGGATGATACTGAGGCCTGCTGCCTGCATGACTAGTAGCAGAGGGTCTTTACATCTTGCTAATGTATGCAGAGCTCTGAAATTGCCTGAATGCCTGAGCATGATGAACTGAATCTTGGGGAATCAATTCCCCATGCATGGACTCCTCAATAGAGTACTCTAAGGTGCTTTTCTCTAAACCTTCTTTCATTTTTAAAGGCCAAAGGGAAGAGTCTTGCTCTTTCCTTAAATGCCCTCAAACCATTTTTTCTTATTTTCCTGATGCAAAACATTAGGCTTCTTTTTAATGCTAATCTTTTCAGCAACTGTGTTCTTCTCCATTCCAACTTTATAGGACCTTTATTTCTGGTGAAACTCAAAATTTAAAATCATTCAGTTGTGCTGTTTGCTCTTAATTTTCATTATAGCACTGGCTAAACGTATCCAAGAGTACCCATACCACAGCAAAATATGGATGCTGGGCATCTGTCATAGTTTGGGGTTTTGCAAGGTGAATAATATAGTACAGGACACATACTTTATAAGATTATTCATAATAGTCACCCAAAAGAATCATATACAAAAAGAAAGTGCAGGAAATCTGTTCACACACTAAAGACCAAAGAATCCAGCTGAGGGCCTAGATCCCTTGATAATGTCCTGAATGAGTCCAGTTGAAGACCTAGAGCTCATAACAATGATTCCCATAAGTTCAACTGGAGGCCTAGAGCCCATACAATGTCTCATGAAGACCTGTTTCACGGATCTATGCTGGGAAGGTCCCAAGGTCATGGTGAAAGCTGGAAAGTCTGTGCCAGTGGGATGAAGGATCTGTGCTATCAGGCTGAGGGATCTGCACTGGAGCCAGGAAGCAATGCTCAAAGTAAGAACCAGAGCTCCTCCAAAAAGTATCACAGCCATCCTCAGCAACAGTGAGGTCCCGAGCTCCTCTGATGATCAGGAAAGCTGAGTTCCCATCAGGAAAGCCAACACAACAAGCTTCTCGAGGAAACTGAGTAGTACACCATCTCCCCTCCAGAGCCAGGAAGTGATACTCAAACTGAGGACTAGAGCTCCCCCAAAGTGAGCCCTAACCATTCTCAATGACAGTGAGGTTGCAGGCTCTTCCTCTGATGAGAGCAGCCAAGTTCATCAGGAAAGCCAGCATGAAAAGCTCCTCTAGGAAAACCAACAGCTCGCCACAGCTTCCCAACAGCTTCTCAACAGCTTCTACCAGCTCCCAACAGCCTCCTTTCTTCTTCTCCAGTTCTGCCTCTTATGCTGCTGGCTATTGGGCTAATAGTATCTCTTAGTTATTACAGGCTGATCAGGTCCACAGTTTCCCTAATGAGTGGACAGCAAAGGCTAAATAAAAGAGGAAAATCAAATAATTTCAAGGCTCCAGGAGAATCAAAGCCCTCTCACAGAATTCAAGATTCTCTCAGAGCTAAAATCAGGACCTTTGGGTGGTCCATATTGATTTAGTTACCAGAAGAAGGCAGGGAAGTTCTTAAGAAGGGTGGAACCACTCAAGGACTTCTCCAAGTAAGGTTAAATTAATCCACCCAGGAGTGAGATGCCTTACTCTACAGTCTTTATCTAGTTGAGGTTTGGATCCAGGTGTCCTTGGCTGTGATCTTGTCTTATCCTTCAAGGTTTTCTGACTTCATCCACCATTACAGGACTCAATATGGATTAGTGACTCACAGACATTCACTTACTGTGGGTCCACTGCCCATTTCCAGACCAGGAGCCTAGGCCGTGGACAGACTCACAAGTAAACATGAAAAGCCAATTGATTAATTTAAGTCCTCCTCAGAGCTGCTTTATAGTGGTCTCCATCAGCTAGCAACAATCCT